CTGGAGGATATGCTGCAAACCTGTTGAACGAGGTGACCTTGCTCGGGTCCCAGGTGTACGGTTCCTAAAATGGCTGCCATATACATGTCCACTGATAGGAGACGCGGAAGGTATTAAACTGATCAGAAAAATACTAAACACACCACTCCTATCTGGTGGCACATTAGCTTGACCGCGCAGTGCCCCAAATTTGAATTAAGAGGACCGACCAAGCATCTTCTTCCATCTCCCTGTTACAGAAATCACTGCCATATCCATACAAATTGTACAGAATGTCCAGGATAGTTTTCCAGGGACAAATGTTGTCGCCTGTTGAACGAGGTGACCTTGCTCGGGTCCCAGGTGTACGGTTCCTAAAATGGCTGCCATATACACGTCCACTGATAGGAGACGCGGAAGGTATTAAACTGATCAGAACAATACTAAACACACCACAAATAAGGTTTCTCTCCTGTATGGCTCCTCAAATGATGCTTAAGATTAGAAGCGGCTGAAAAGCATTTCTCACACTCCGAACAAAATATATTTTTTTAACATTCTCTCCACTTTGAACGAAATGACGTTTGGGAAGAGATTAACATAATTAAACACAGGCAGTAAAAATACAGTTTTTAGCCATACCCTGTAACTTTAAAACTACACATCCCATCTTCATAATTACATATTTGGAATCAGCACACTTAAAACATAAACATAACCAAAAATCAGCCAAATCCATCCAGGGGTTAAAAAGTTAGCTGGAGGTCCCTTTATGACCGACCGCAAGCACATTTTCCTGCCCAAAACAGTTCCATAGATTTGGGCTGTGAGGTCGGTCTATTTCAGGCTGAAAAAACGACTAAGTCCCATCGCCGAATGGGACTTAGTCTCTGCAGCTGAAATAAGGCTGAAAAAAACGGCTGAAAAAAAGACTAAGTCCCATCGCCGAATGGGACTTAGTCTCTGCAGCTGAAATAAGGCTGAAAAAAACGGCTGAAAAAAAGACTAAGTCCCATCGCCGAATGGGACTTAGTCTCTGCAGCTGAAATAATTTCCCATTTACTGAACCAAGTGGGAAATAGCAAGGCAGGCACAAAGGGTTTGCACCAGGTCTGGGGACACAGGGGACACCGTCTTAAAGGGGCCGTGTCCCCAACAAGTCTGGGGACACGGCCTTAAAGGGGCAGTGTCCCAATCTTCCTGATGTCCCAAAAAAGGTGTTTAAAGGGCCAGCACCAGTCACATAAAGAGTCCATAAGCCCCAATATGCCCACCGACAGTCTTAAAGGGCCATACACACCAAATAAAAGTGCATACATTTTCACAATCTCCCAGGGGCCATAGTCATGCGGGAGGAGGCTGGCAAGTAGGCTTCTCCACAACCCAGGGAAGCAGGGCAATATGCCATTTAAAGGGCCCGTTACAAATAGCAGTTTGTAACAAGGTGTCAATCCATATCTGCCAAGTGACCCGATGTAGGGGGACCAGTCCCTATTCTGCTCTGTGTCAGTGTGTACCAGGGAACCTTAGGACAGGTGTCAATCCATATCTGCCAAGTGACCCGATGTAGGGGGAACAGTCCCTATTCTGCTCTGTGTCAGTGTGTATCAGGGATCCTTAGGACAGGTGTCAATCCATATCTGCCAAGTGACCCTATGTAGGGGGACCAGTCTCTATTCTGCTCTGTGTCCGTGTGCATCAGGGGCTCTGAGGACAGGTGTCAATCCATATGTCAAGGTGTCAATATGTCATATGTCAGGTGTCAATCCATATTGATTGTGATTTAGGAATGTTAGGTGATTTCTGCCCTTTATGGATTAAAACCAGACTCTGTATCAACTGTGTAATTTTCCATGGGAGTTTTGCCATGGATCCCCCTCCGGCATGCCACAGTCCAGGTGTTAGTCCCCTTGAAACAACTTTTCCATCCCTATTGTGGCCAGAAAGAGTCCCTGTGTGTTTTAAAATTCGCCTCCCCATTGAAGTCAATGGCGTTTCGGGCGGTTCGCCGGTTCGCGAACATTTGCGGAAGTTCGCGTTCGCCGTTCGCGAACCGAAAATTTCGGGTTCGCGACATCACTATTAGTAACAGGTTCGCACAAACCGTTGCAAACCGGCTGAATCCCACCACTGCCTGGGGAGCACGTTTTTTTCCCCCGGGAGACTTCGCTAAACACAAATATCATTGTTTCAAAACAGTCAAATGTATTACATTGATGATATCGTCAAAGTGTAATTTCTTACATTTTTCACACACAAACTGTACTTTCACTGATGATATAATTGTTGTGGTACATTTTACTGTTTTGAAACTTTAATATTTGTGTTCAGCGAAGTCTCCCGAGTACAACAGCTCTGCCAGTGTGCAGGTTTTATGATGATTTCAAAAGTTACAGAGTCAAATATAAGGCTTGCATTTCAGTTTTCTCACATTGAAATTTGCCAGATTGGTTATGTTGCCTTTGAGACTGTATGGTAGCCCAGGAATGAGAATTACCTCCATGATGGTATACCATTTGCAAAAGTAGACAACCCAAGGTATTGCAAATGGGGTATGTCCAGTTCTTTTTAGTAGCCACTTAGTCACAAGCACTGGCCAAAATTAGCATTTAAATTTCATTTTTCACACACCAACATATATAAACGATCACTTTGGCCAGTGTTTATGACTAAGTGGCAACTAAAAAAACTGGGACAAATGGGACATACCCCATTTGTAATACCTTGGGTTGTCTACTTTTGCAAATGGTATGCTATCATGGGGGTAATTCTCATTCCTGGGCTACCATACGGTCTCAAAGACAAGATAACTAGTCTGGCAAATTTCAATGTGTATAAACTAAAAAATGGGCTTTACTTGACCCTGTAACTTTCCAAAACACCATAAAACCTGTAAATTGGGGGTACTGTTTTACATGTGAGACATCGCTGAATACAAATATGTGTACTTTATTGCCTTAACAGCTAACAGTATTATGACTTTCGTAGTTAAAATTCCATGCAGAACTAAAAAATAACAATGTCTTAATTTCTCATATTTTTTTATATTTTATTCATATTAAATTGTGTTTCATTGCTAAATATGTGATGTTAAATGAAAGCCCTATTCTTCCTGAATAAAATTATATATAAGTGTGGGTGCACATAATATGAAAGAGGTGAATTACGCCTGAACAGACATATAGCACAAATTCTAGGTTTTGTTTAGATCACAACTTACACTATTGGCTCCGTCCTTAAGGGGTTAAAGGCGCAGAAAAGCTTGTTTTGATCTGAAACATTAAATGAAGTTGCAGTTTCAATAAGAGAGTGTGAACTATTTTGATCTCTGGTAATTTAAGATATAATTTATCAATACATTGAATTACAACAATCAGTCTATTCTTTTTATTAAACCTTTAGACATAGAACAAAGAGGGAAGCAGAAAACAGATAAGTGTCTTAACAAAAACCGTCATTTTAAACAGTTAAGATATGGAAATAGATAAGAATATAAACTTTAACTGCATACTATTAACAATTCACTTTCTAGAAAGATTCTCTTAGGTGGTACCCAGGGTTAATTTTTGGCGACACATTTCAATTAAGTTTTAGTCATAGTCTTTTGTATAAAATGCCATTTTAGTTTAGTTATATTTTAGTCATCTGAATTGTTTTAGTTTTAGTCGACTAAATCTCAAAAATTTTAGTCGACTAAAATTTGACTAAAATTGTTTATTGACAATTTTAACATTGTGACGCCATGGCTGAAAACTTGATGAAAAGTCCAAAAGTATACTATTAATGGATTCAGTTAAATACGATTTTGGTCTACTGGTTATGTTGCAGTTTCTGGTCACTGTCTAACATGTTTATTTATTTATTTCTCTAGCACCCATAGCCCACCCATTTGCACCCCCATTGATAAGCAATCTCTTGCATATAACAGTGTCAATTACATTCAAACAAATGATAAATTAAAATTTTTGTAGAATTGCTACATTTTTAATTTGTACATTGTTTGTCTAGTTTACAATTTAATGAATAAGATCTTTGATCCAAATTGTTTTATTATATATGTTTCATTTTAACATTATATAAGTACTCAAGGGTATTCAGCAGTGAAATAAGTGAATGACAATGCGAGAGAGTGTACGGTATTAATGGGAAACTATAGCGCAAGGAATACAAATTTGTATTCCTAGCACTACAGGAGGGGAGGGGGACAGGAATGACAGGGGGACACTACTATCACTACAGTACCCTATAGTGTCCCCCTCCCTCCCTGCCACCCCCTCCCCCATTGTAAAAAGGGTTAAAAGCCCATTTGTCACTTACTTAATTCCAGTGCCAGGGTGCCTTGGCACTGGATCAGCCTCTGCCTCTGCTCTCCTCCTCTGCTGACATCAGCCGGGGAAGGGGCCTTATGACCATGCACGGTGATTGTATAAGGACTACCCCATATTTCTTATTGGGTCTTAGCTAATGCTAGAGGTCTTAATGCAGAGTGTAAGGATGTTCAGTGTCAGTTAACCACCAGGAAGTGCCTCTAGTGGCTGTTTGGTAGACAGCTACTAGAGGTGGAGTTAACTCTGCAAGTAATTATTGCAGTTTATCAATAATTGTAATATTTATAATTGTAGGGTTAAACTGACAGGGGCACTGCAGCCAGACCATTTCAATGAGATAATGTGGTCTGGGTGCCAATAGTGTCCCTTTAAAGGAACACTCCACAGTTAAAAACAATATTTGATTTTAATGTTTGAGTGCACCTTTAACAACCATCCTAGCACCAGACACCTGATCCATAAATTAAAATAATAAAGTTTACCTAACTTTTTACTCCAGCAGTGTGTCCTTTCTTAAACTGCTCTACTGTACCCAGAGTAGACTGGCAACGATGATAGTTACCTTTTTCTATCCAGAGAAAATTTGCGAATGTGTAATGATTTGCAGGAATCAAATTGCAAATTTGTAAGAATCAAATAGAATGCTTCTCGTAGGGAAACAGTGACCAAGCTGAAGTGCTTTCGGGGTTTGAAGTGTTTCATTAAAATAATGCAATGGCTGAAGTTCAAAGCGATATTGAAAGTTGTAGTATACCTGTTTTACTGCTGTAAGAAGCCTTGAATTTGTAAAACTCAATGACATATTTCCAGTGTTTATTTTAGATTACAAGTCTCAAGGCAGGACTCTCAACATTTACTGTGTCTGTGTGTTTCCGTCTGTCAAAGTTATATTATTATAGCTTTTACACAGTGTACCTAAGCACTGCGGAATGCATCCATCTAAATAAGGAAACCATAACAAAAACATTTTGTGAGTTTGTTATTTTTCCAATGAGTTGGCTGAGATAAAAAAGTGCAAAACAGTTCTTTATACCTGGAAATAATTTTCACAAGAAAAGCCCACTCCCACCCAAAACATTTTTTGTTGTATGAATGGCCAAACAAATGTGGCATTCCTATTCTGTTCCATCGGCACTGCTAATGGGCTCATCATTGTCACTCAAAGAGCAGATAACAGTCTAGACTAGAGAAAGCGAACATCAAAGGGCTGCAGTATGGGGAATGATC